AGTGTGTGTATATATATATATATATATATATATATATATATATATATATATATATATATATATATATATATATATATATATATGTATATTGAGATATCCAGTTGTCTTTGCAGTACACTAATATAGTATCCATTACATGACGTTTACTATATTGGTAAGTGAAACCTGGAACGATTACCGCATTTTTAATCAATTTTACTGTTTATCCTGGAACGAAAGATGCGGTGACAATATCTAACAAAACAATTAATTTTTGACAATGCATTTACTAGATGGAAAATAATTATCTTTCCGATTTGGCTTTTTAGCATGTACTACTGCTGCAGCTTTGCTGTCTTTCATTCCGCCTGAAGGAGTAGCAGCATTTGGCGCTATTTCAACAATACTCGCAGCCACTGTTTCATTCCTCAGACCAGCCGACAAACGAAACCTACACGACAAAGCGTCCAGAGATTTTCGATCATTGATGATTCAAATGATCAGCTGTGAAACAGAGGCAGACTACGAGAGACTGTGGAACGATTTTAATAGAGAGATTATGGAAGAACCTTTAATTCCAAAACGATTCGCTGTCAAATCTAATATGAAGTTTGTAATGAACCAAAACCTTTGTCAGGTATGGCTGAAATTCAAGAGTAACTTAGGCATGTGTTGTTTGTTGTAGAGCACTTTTTTTGACTGTAATAAATGTGCCCTTGTTTCTTAAAAAACCCGGTCTGCTGTACTTAATCATGGTGCAACCGAAATCTTTCTGATGAAATGATACCTTGGGTGCCAAAGGTTCTTCCACGCTTGTAGGGTGATAATGAGAGATACACGAGGATGCAAGCTGGACGGGAGGCGAGCGGGAAGAACCTCTGGAGCACATTTCTCAGATCGAGCCGCATCAATCATGATGCTTTATAGTTCGAAGCGTTCCAGAATTAGGATCACAGCGTTGATTGGTCAACAGCATGGATTTGTTAAAACAATGATTTTCATTGGCTGGTTGAACCGCATGTCCTTCGAAATAATATCGTTCAGAATCCGTACAGGCATACACAAACATTGCTGTTGTTTATAATGGTAATTGAACTGAGTGGAGGGCAATTTGGACTGAAATCAAACGCGTGATTACAGAATCGCACGACCGCGAAGCAGGAGTGCGATTTGTAATCACAAGTTTGATTTCAGTCCAAAATTGTACGACACGAAGTTCAATTTCCACTTTATTACATTCATTTTGAAATCTTAAATATTTTTGTAAACCGAAAACGTTTTTGTTTGCAAAAGACACACCTCCGGTACCTCACTGAGTGCTGTAGCATAGCAACAATAAGCGAACAAGATGAACTTTTCAAATACTGAAAAAATCTTAAAGAAATGAAGACATTTATACAGAATAAGATACAAACACAAGTAAGTTTAAACATATTGTAGGTATTACGAGTGATTGAAAGAGTTTTGGTGCAGTTTTGTGCGTTCAAAATTGGAAATACGATAGGCGAATTTACCTTTGCTTTCCCGTAGTCCTGTCTGTCCTGACGCTTTAAATTTGCTTTTGTTGGCATTTTTGCCAGTTACTATTTGTGAAATTTCAAAAAAATTAAAATTTCAGTTTGCAATTCTTTAGTAGTTTACTGTAGCTATCCATATTTTTTTGTTTTTATGTGAAAAAAATTGCTTAGGCACTCAAGAATAATCATGACATGTTAATTTTTTGTTTTTGCTCATTTACCATATCACATTTTTCTTAATGTGATTGCATCGTTGAAGGAAGGTGCGATTTCAGCACGAATCGCGCTGCTAGGAGTGCAATTCGTGCTGAAATCGCACTCCTGTGAACCAATCAGATTGCAGGAAACACCATTGATTTCAAAATGAATATAATAAAATATTATATTATATTATTAACATAGCCAGGCGTAAATATACATGCCTTTTATATAGTTTTGTGGGAGGATTTCAACAACGCGGTCGCGGTCGAGTCGGTTTTGAAATTTTTACTGGTGTTACAAAATTCATTAAACATCAAGATGATGCCCTGTTCTGTGTTTCAGTTGAAGCATCGCTTTGGTGCGTTTGCTATATAATTTGCCAATGGGTTTGGTATTAATATAAATCGCTTATCTTCCAGCTACTTCTGTAGTTATAACTATAGTTATATACAGTGGAGTACAATAGTTTCCCAGAGAACGGTATATTCTTAGTCATATGCCCTCTTGTCGTATTAATTGCTGCCCTAGGCAGCACACTATTCTCGGCAACTGATTTTGACGTAATGACTTGTGCCATTTCCCTTGACCGAGTTATAACAATGCAGTTTGAATCAGAATATAGAAGAAATATGGATTTTTGATGCTTTGGTAATTGCTCATAAATCGCCGTATATAAGCTCTCGCTTTGTACTAAAACAATAATTTCTAGAAAATTAATTTTGGAGGTAAATTTTAGCGAATTTTGCCGTATAGTGTCGTATAGACTTATATAGTGATCTGTAGTGTTGTATAACTTTGTATAGTGTTGCATAGTCTTGTATAATAATGTTGTATAGTCTTCTATAGTGTAGTATAGTGTTGTATAGTCTTGTACATAGTGTCATATAGTTTTGTATAAGTAATGGTTAGAGCATTACTACGTGTGCTCTATGGGATATAGAGTTCCGAGAACAGGGATGCCGGAAGTTGCTAAGGGCAAGGGGTGCAATTGGTTAACAAGAGGGCATACTCCTTAATAAAAGGCACCAATGAAAATCAAAGGGCGTCATGATCCTACATTCGTGTCAACCTCCCTCCCTGTCACCAAATTTTTTCGGACCGAATACAATTATTTAGGCACAATTCCGCCGTAATTACTCGCCAAAAGTTCCATAAGTAATGCTTTCCGTTTCACCCTTCGCCAAATGGATAACAATTTTGCCGAATTCCCGACGACTGGGAGGTGGAACACCCCCGCACACATCCTCGAACGACGTTTAATTCTGTCTGTTGTAAAAGTTTTGTGCACCCGTTACACCAATAGTCTGCACCCGCACTACTGCACCCACAAAGTTGAAAATGCAAAAGGCAAGGGGTGCACTTGCACCCTCTGCACTCGTGGTTCCGGCATCCCTGTCCGAGAATTAGTTAAAAGGTCACGAGGGGCCGTAAGCCCCGAGTGGCCTTTTAACTAATTCGAGTAACTCTATAATCCATAGAGCACAAGTGATCATGCTCTATCAGTCTTAAGCCCGCCGCACACGAGCGCACTTGTCGCGCGAACTTGTTATTCGTGACAAGTTGGATCGACAAAATTTCCTCGTGTTTCCATGTGTGCAACATTTACGGCATTGTTGTCATTCGTGATATATAAGCCAAATATCAAACAAGTTTGATATTTTTTGTCATTCGTGACAAAAAACTTCACGTGTGCGGCAAGCAAACGACAAGCGCGCCTGAATAGGAATATTTGCGCATGCGTGCAACTTGCAGAATTAAAAAAAAAACATGGAGGATCAAAATCACGGTAATCGTTCCATGTTTCGCGCACCAATATAGTAAACGTTATGTGATGGATATTATAGTGTACTGAAAAGTTCACTAGATACCTCCATACACATATAACACACCTTAACCCTAACTCTAACCCCAACCTTAAACCTAACCCAAACCCCTAACCCTAACCTAACCCCTAACCTTAATACCTAAACCCTAACCCTAACCTATATTGGTGCGCGAAACATGGAATGATAACCAAAATCACGAGCACGAATCTTGTTTTTCATTCTGCAAGTTGCACACAAGCGCAAATTTTTCTATTCAGGCGCGCTTGTCGTTTTCTCGCCGCACACGAAAAATATCAAACATGTTTGATATTTGATTTACATGTCACGAATGACGAAAATGCCGTAAATGTTGCCCGCACACGAGGAATTTTTGTCGATCCAACTTGTCACGAATAACAAGTACGCGCGACAAGTGCGCTCGTGTGCGGCGGGCTTAAGAGAATGACTGCATCCACGAAGTAATTGAAGGCATGCAATTAAAGTTAGAATAATGGTTGACGAAGAGTGCACTTTAAATTATTCGTGTATTCATTGTTACAATTGCGAACAAACCAATTGTGCGCGAGTAGTTAGTTTTATTAGCAAACAATTATGGTGAGAACGAGACACAGAAATACGGCAGTACAAAGTTATAAACGCCAAGCGATGAATTGCCGCAAAAAGTAACAAATGCCTTACAAACACCAAAGAGTCCAATTGCAAGTGGAAAAGAAGTAGAATTCAACGAAGTTCTCGCAAAAAAGAAGTGTGTAAATAAGGAACAAAGGAAAGCCCTATCGTCTAAAGTGCAGGTGACGTTAACTCATGGGGATACTACATTAAATTTGAATTTTGAGTGAAATGAACAGTACTGAATTATGACTTGAACTACGGCATATTGAAGTTAGTTTATTTGGA